ACAGAATATTTTAAGGATTTTATTTTTTTGAAAATTGCCAAATTTGTTCCAAATGGTGGAAGGTATTAAAAGTTCGGCCCGGCCGAACTTAGCTGCTTCTCTACTTGTTTAGTACTTAAAATGCAATATTTCTTTAGTTTAACAAAAATTTTTAATCAGACACATTGCGGAACTCCAGCTTTATTCATTTACCCAATAGAGTACCACTTAGTACTTTTCGAACAATTATAATACCTTATCTTAACCACAGCCACCACCAATGGCATCTATATCAATTTTCAAGATTTCAGGTCGATTCTTCACCCAATACCAAATTCAATACTATTTAGCACTTTTCGTACATTAATAGCAAAACCACCACCAGATACCAAAAGATAGCTCCAAATCATATTTCGGGACTCATTTCACCCAATACCCAATTTAGTACCATTTAGTACTTCTAGTACCCATTTCTGAAACCAACCTCGTCCTCAGATATTAACAATGACAGGATTTCAGCTCTATTCCTTCACCAAATACCAAACATAGCACTATTTAGTACTTTTTGTACAATTAAAGTACACATTTTCAAAAAGCACCTACATATCTCAATTCCAGATATATAACAGAGACAAAATATCAAATTTGAGGATCCCAGCCCTAACCAGTGTGACTGAATGAGCAATATCTGGTGTTTGCGAAAATGGTGGAATGTGTGAAGCTTAGAAGGAATTGGATGTTATTCCGCAATTTAGTAGAGTTTAGTGGGGGAGATATCAGAAAAAATGGTCCTATTCAGGGAGAGATGAAAAAGCTGCAATCAACATCAGACTGCGGTCATTTCTAAGCCACTCGTTCGACAGATGTTACAATTATTCCAGTGACAGCTCATTACATTGTTTACGAGCGTACAAAAGCATTTTGGTGAGAATTTTCCAGAAAAAAAAGTTATTCGTGATGGAATTCTTTATATTTGGCTGGAAACCACAAGTGGCTATCGTTAGAGCACTACAGCATTCAAATGTGAATAAATATTTTGTGTCTAGTACCATCGCTCGTTACCGTGATACTGGTAGCGAAGCCCGGCGTCAAGGAAGTGGACGGAAGAAAACAGCAACATCAGCAGAAGAGGTTCGAAAAGTAAAGAAGCGACTTGATCGAAACCCGCGTCACAGTGCCGAAAAATGGCTCGTGAGCTGAATATATCGCAATATTCCATTCGGCAAATATTGACAAAATAAGCTCGGGGTAAAACCATTGAAATTTCAAGAAGTGCAAGAACTTACACCGCAACAGAAAGAAAATAGACTCAAAAGAGCTGAAGAATTTCTTCGCTTGGCCGAAAGTGGTGAACTGCTGAATTTAGTTTTCTCCGATGAGAAAACATTCGTTGTCCAGCAGTTTGTAATCAAACCAAATGATCGTGTTTACTTGCCAAGAAGGTCAGATAAAAAGTGCACCTTCGGTTGACCACTAGAACTCAAGCACCGCCCATGGTCATGGTGTGGGCCGCCATAACAGCCGATGGTCGCTCTCCGCTCGTATTAATCGACATTGGCATCAGGGGGTATTAAAGCCTTGAGCACGTGCCATCGCACTCAACACGCGCCACCTAAGAATGGTTAAAAAGAGGTTCCTCGCTTCATTTCCAGCGCACAATGGCCACCAAAATCTCCGGATACCAATCCGTTGGACTATTGTGTCTGCAGTATTTTGGAAAGCAAGTTTGGCACTAAAACATATCAATGTGACGATGACCTCAAGCAAGCGCTTCACCGGGAATGGGCCAAAATAGCGCAGAGCAATATTCGGACAGCGTGTGACGGTTTCATTTCCGACATTTTTTGCTTTCATTCAATAAAATTAAAAAAATAAATAAAATTATGGCGGTTGTCTTTGTTGCAGTTTTTTTTTGTGTCACCCTGTATATTCCATTTTCACGCCAGATAATGTTTTAGTAAAAAAAATTGAGATGTGTGAAGTTCGAAGAGAATTGGATGCTCAATTCGCATTTATAATAGTTTTGGTTATTAAAAATTTGGATTCTTTGTGGGTTAGTTACCAGAAGTAGTATGTCGATATGTACCATTTTCACAGCAGATCCTCTGTCGATAGAAATAGAAGCTTGCAAGGAATTGAATGCTCATTTCGCGTTATATGAGCCTCATGACTATTCTAAATGTTGACCCATTGCGGGGGAGGGTCGAATTGAATACCCTGCAGCATTTGGAACGAATTTGGATATTTAAAAAAAAGGTTAAAAATCCTGTTAAAATCTTAAAAATGCAGAATATAGCCAGAAAGAGTGGCCCGTTCTATCCCATCTTCATTCCATGTCTCGTATAAATAAAAGTGGGGGAGGAATCTGATGTAGTGGACACATATTGTCCATATTAGGGACGATTTTAACAAAAAACTCAAACATAAATATGTATAGAAAGTTACAATTTCCGGCTAAAAGGAAATGTTATATTACTTCCATGATTCAATTCCAAAAAGCGGAGGAAAATCTGAGCAAAAAAAGTTAAATATTTTCATATTTTTTATTAACAAATATTTTTTTAGGCGTATAATGGAAATAGGAATTTTCGGTGACTTGTAGTGAAAATTAATTACGAAAAATGCAGTTTGAGTTTGCGCTAAATTCCTGGTGTTTAAATAAACTTGTGAAACATAAATATGTTTTTAAAAGGGCCGGGTCGAACTTTGAATACCCTGCACCATTTGAAACGAATTTGGATATTTAAAAAAAGGTTCTGTTAAGATCTTAAAAATGCAGAATATAGCCATTATATTGGGGTCTGTACGAAGACCTGCACAGGCAACTTTCAATATTCAAATACTGTAGTATCCACTACAAACTTCAAATACCAAATTTGAAACAATTCCGGTGAATAATGTCGCTAAAATCGCCAAAATACCAAATATCGGGAGGTGCCGTTATATGGGGGCTATACGAAGACGTGAACCAGCACACACAATTTCTGTCATAGGCTGTAGTTCCCAATACGAACTTCACATACCACATTTGAAACTATTCCGGTGAATAATGTCGCTAAAATCATTAAAATACCGAATATCAGGAGGTACCGTTATATGGGGGCTATACGACAATTTTCTGTCACAGGCTATAGCGCCTATTAGGAACTTCAAATACGAAATTTCAAATAATTTCTGTGAATATTGTACCTAAAATCGTTAAAGTTCCAAATATAGGGAGGTACTGATATATAGGACCTATACGAAGACCTGGACCTGCATACATAATTTTCTGTCATAGGCTGTAGTACCCATTACGAATTCTAAATACGAAATTTAAAACAAGTCCGGTGAATAATGTTCCTAAAATCGTCAAAATATCGAATATCGAGGGGTACCGTGGTATGTGGCCTATATAGACATTTCTCTTCCAGGGAGTTAAGTACTCAGGAAGAACTTCTTTTGTGGATTTTCAGACAATTTCATTTATAACTTTGGCTACAATCATGAAAAAATACCGAATATCGAGGGTACCGTTATATGGGGCTATACGATATCGTGGACCGATATAGCCCATCTTCGAACTTGACCTGCCTGCAGACAAAAGACTGATTTGTGCAATATTTTAGCTTCCTATATTTATTTGTTTCGACTCCAGCGTGATTAAAAGAGACGGACCGGCTTAAATAGTCTTAGAATTTTACGCTGATCAAGAATACATACTTTGTTATGTCTGAGAATTATGTTTCGATGAGTTACAAAAGAAATGACGAACTTAATACAATCTCCATATTATGTATGGTAGAGGATATAAAAATTGGGCTCCACATCTATATTTCCGATAATTCCAATGATATATTTATTCAGAGAATACTTTGTCTTTGCAAATCGATTCTTTGTATATTCTTTGAAGATTTTTATTTGACTTTTTATACCCTACACCACAAGGTGGTCAGGGTATTATGTCTTTGTGCATTTGTTTGTAACAGGCAAAAGGAAACGGGATAGACCCATAGTTCCTTTTTATGATCTGCATAGAATCACTTTCTGAGTTGATTTATGCATGTCAGTCCGTCTGTCCGTCCGTCCGTCCGTCCGTCCGTCCGTCCGTCCGTCTGCCCATGTATTCTTGTGAACAAAATGCAGGTCGCATTTATTATCCGATTGAGATGAAATTTTGCAAACAACATTTGTTTGGCCCAAGGACGAACCCTATTGAAATTGGAGATAATCGGTAAAAATTTAGATATAGCTCTCATATATATCTTCGTCCGATTTGCCTTTTATTGTGCACCAAACGTGTAATATCAGCCCGAATAGTATGGAATCTTGCACATACATCCAAATTAGGCCTGAAAATAAGTATGCCAAATTTTATCGAAATCGGTTCAGATATAGCTATAGCTCCCATATATATTGTTCATCCGATTTATTGTATTTGTTACCCACAGCCATAATATGCACCCTGTAACAACAATATTTGGGGAAATATATCAAATGCAGCTCAGAAATACCTTTGCTAAATTTTATCGAGATCGGTTCAGATTTGGATATAGTTCCCATATATATTTTTATCCGATTTCAAATTAATTTCGCACCAAATGGGCAATTCAAGTCCGAATTTAAAAGATACAAATGCTTCGGCATATTTAGTCCTTTGAATTTTAAATTATAATTATAATCATAGCGTGTATGATTGAATTCCCTCATAAAAACTTTTAATTATTAAGTGGAGCTCAACTAAATTAGCAAAGTGGTGTGGGGTATCATAAAATCGGCCCCGCCCGACCTTAGGACTTTCTTTACTGGTTTTTAATTTCAATCTCGGTTAAAATGGGTTTTCAAGTTGTGTTTAATTAATATTTTTTAAGTCCACTCTCCTTTTTTTGGAAAGGACAGGCCTACAAATTCAAAATACGTACGTACGTATGTGTGTGCGTGTGTGTGTCTAAGGTAGGCACCTCCGTATCTGTGCCACGATACACACGAAATCGAAATGAAACGAAAATTGAAGTCATAGTTGAATTAATATTCGTACTTACCCCACTGACACAAATGCAGGAGAGTAACAGGCCCAATATGACAGTAGCTACGACGGCCAAACGAGGTAGCTGGAAACGAAGATGATGCCTGCAATGTGGTTGCTGCTGCATGCCTCTGACAATGGACGATGATGTCGGAGATGTGGATGGATCCGCGAGGTTGCTACTGTCGTTGTTGTTATTGTTGAGTGTCTTAAAATTGTTGCAGTTAAATTTGTGGGCCATAATTTGTCTGTGGCAATGTTTTGGCTTAGCGAAGAAGAAGAAGATGGTGTTGTTGGTGATGCTGCTGCTGCTGCTGCAATTGTCGGTTGGTGATGGTAGTCGACTGACGTTGGGTGATTGTGTTTTCCGTCGACTGGCTGCTGAAAAACACACACATACACAAACACAATGAAAAAATAATAATAATAATGAAAGATTGATAGATGGTTTGTTTACACGATAGCAAAAACATCAACAAAATAGTAAAAGGGATAGATGGAGGTGCAGATAAACGGTGATGTTCTTAACAAAAAACAAATTGTATGTTCAGTCATTGCCAAATTGGAAAGGATTTTGGTAATTTCATCAATAGCTCGCTTGTACTTCAAATTTATTGGGCAATATAGAAATAAATATTTTTGTTTTCAAACTATTGTCTTCTTTAGTTTTCGATTCGTGTTAGTATTCCCACGTTTGTGCATGAAATCAACCACAAAACTTTATTTCTTTCAATGGTTCTTTAGATTTGTTACGTGACACCATCATCAGCTACTCGAAGTCTAGCAATTGCTGAACGATGGGGTTTATTTATTCTTCTTATAATGTTTTTAATATCGTTTTTTTTTTTGGAGTTTAGAAAATTTTAATAAAAAAAAAAATAGAAATGAAAATTTACGCACTTTTCAGTTACTCAAACACTTGTATTCCAACGGTGAAGGGTTTTGTTTTTGAGGGGGTGTTTGTTATACGCGCTCTATTCGCTGCACGTGTTACCTCGCGTCTGGTTGTAATGAAAAAGCTAAAAAAATCTGCCAACATTTTAGTTTTATACCAGCTCCCACCAAAAACACCGCATCATTTGGCTCAGCTTCTAAACAAACCCCCCTACCTACAAACGAGGCTAACAGTCATTGTGGCCAAAACAAAACAACAGCGTCATCATCGTTTTCATCATCATCACCATCATCGTCGTCGTCGTCGTCGCGATCATTGTTAACAGCCAACACCAGCACCACCATTGTCATCATCATCATCATCATAGGTATTGGCATCGTGGTTTGCCAAAGCGTAAAAGACTAGATCATCATTATGACCAGTTAACAGTAGCTGTGAACTATGGCTGCTACCTCTGTGGGACTCTCAATCGCACATCAGCAGCCTTAATCATCTTGGTAGTGGCAAAGTTTTGTGACGGTGCTGCAGGGATGGACATTTAAATCTAAAACAAGTAAAAAAGTAGTAAGTTCGGCCGGGCCGAACTTTGAATACCCTCCACCATTTGGAACGAATTTGAAAATTTTCAAAAAAATTAAATCCAATAAAAATTCTTTTAAAATCTTTAAAACATCTAATATAGGAAGGTGCCGATATATGGGGGGATATACGATATTGTGGACCTATAAAGACAAATCTATGTCTGCGTGTAAAGTACTCACAAGGAACTCCTTGTATGGATTTTCAGATAATTCCATTGGAAAAAGTGGCTAAAATCATCAAAATACCGAATATAGGGGAGTACCGTTATATGGGGGCTATACGATATTGTGGACCTATATAGATGATTCTCTGCAGAGGTATAAAGTACCCACAAGGACCTCCTTGTGTGGATTTTAAGAAAATTCCATTGAAAAATATGACTAAAATCATCAAAATGCCGAATACCGGGGGTACCGTTATATGGAGGCTATACGATATTGTGGACCTATATAGATAATTATCTGCCGAGGTATAAAGTACCCACAAGGAACTACTTGTGTGGATTTTCAGACAATTCCATTGAAAAATGTGGCTAACATCATCAAAATACCGAATATCGGGGGTACCGTTATATGGGGGCTATACGATATCGTGTACCGATATAGCCCATCTTCGAACTTGACCTGCCTGCAGACAAAAGAGAGATCTGTGCAAAGTTTTAGCTTCCTATCTTAATTCGTTTAGACTGTAGCGTGATTACAACAGACGGACGGACGGACAGACAGGGCTAAATCGTCTTAGAATTTTACGCTGATCAAGAATATATATACTTTGTTGGGTCTAAAATGATTATTTCGATGAGTTACAAACGGAATGACGAACTTAATATACCCTTTTTTGGTGGAGGGTATAAAAAAAGTCGGGTATATGCAGAAGAAGAAATATAGAAGATCTGCCATAGATCGAAGGTACAAAACCATTTTCATGTACAGGGTAAGATGAAAAAACTGCAACCAACTGCAGACTGCTAAGCCACTAGTCCGACAGCTATTAAAATTATTCCAGTGACAGCTCATTATATTGTTTACATGCGTACAAAAGCATTTTGGTGAGAATTTTCCACAAACAAAGTTATTCCTGATGGAACTCAAGCATGATAGTGTGATTTCTTTATATTTGGCTGGAAAACCACAAGTGACTGACGTTGGAGCATTCCAGCATCTTCTTTTGGGTCTCGTACCATCGCTCCTTACCGTGATACTGGTAGCGTAGTCCGACGTCAAGGAAGTGGACGGAAGAAAATAGCAAAATCGGCAGTAATGGTTCGTAAAGTAAAGAAGCGACTTGGTCGAATCCCGCGTCGCAGTGGCCGAAAAATGATTCGTGAACTGAAAATATCGGTAAATATTCCATTCGGCAAATATTGAAAAATGAGCTCGGGGTAAAGCCATTGAAATTCTAAAAAGTGCAAGAACTTACACCGCAACAGAAAGAAAATGGACTGAAAAGAGCTTCGCTTGACCGAAAGTGGTGAACTGCCGAAAATGGTTTTCTCCGATGAGAAAACATTCGTTGTCCAGCAGTTTGTAAACAAACAAAATAATCGTTTTTCGCCAAAAAGGTCAGCTGAAAATGTGCACCTTCCGTTGGCCACCAGAACTCAAGCGTCGGCCATGGTGATGGTGTGGGCCACCATAACAGCCGATGGTCGCTCTCCGATCGTATTAATCGACCGTGGCATCTGAATAAATGCCGAATATTATCGTGAAAATATTCTTGGGCACGCAAACATTTTGAATGCATACCTTGGACATTCCAAGAGGACTCAGCACCTTCGCACTCAGCACGCGCCACCCAAGAATGGTTACAAAATGAGGTTCCTCGCTTCATTTCCAGCTCACAATGGCCACCAAAATATTCGGATACCAACCCGTTGGACTATTGTGTCTGGAGAATTTTCGAAAGCAAGGTTGGCAATAAAAAATACCAAATTGTCGATCACCTCCTATCTCCGACGTGTTTTGCTTTCATTCAATCAAATTAAAAAAAATGTAAAAATTATGGCGTTTGACTTCGTTGCAGTTTTTTTATCTCACGCTGTACATCATTGGAAACCTCAAAAAAAACATCCTCTCCCAAAAAAAAGGAAAAATATTAATTATAAAATTTTTTTTTAGACAAAATAAAAAATTGTTGTTAAAAAAAATTAAATATTATTTTCTTTAAACAATTCACGAATAAAAAACCGCGCGCTTATACTTTCAGCCTACATATGTCTACAGACAGAAAATTTGGAGTCGAACCAGAGGTGTCCCTTTGTCTGGTTGATGAGCACAATTACTCTCGAAGGGCGAATCCGATTTGGTCCAATTTTGGTGGAGATGGGGAACATCGGTCCACTCCTTCTATTACCATCCCCACAACGGGCTAACACTTGGAATAATTGAAACTTTAAAAATGTGAAAAAAAAGAGTCCGTTTGTCTTCAAGTTTCGCACATCCTGATATTTTTATCAGCATAAGAGCAGGTGTGAAGATAGACTATGTCGGAACAATTCTTCTTGTACTCCACCCACCACGAGTCAACATTTTGATATGAACTACAATGCCGAATTTTAAACAAATCTGATAGAAAATGTGGTCTAAATATGAAACATCTGCAGGCACCATTATATGGAGGATACCACAGGAGGTAAAATACATTACAAACTGTAAATGCCATATTCAAAACAAGTAAGCAAAGGCTACAGTCGAGCGGGACCGACCGTTGAATACCCTACAACACTATAATAAACGATACAGTTTATATAGGCGAGATACTCGAAAGAATTCCACATGATATTGTGACAAATAATAAAAGAAAACCAGGTTTCGTCAGGTTTCATTCTCTAATTTTCGAATAATAGCAACTTAAACTAATTTGCTCGTTTCCAATTTATTGGTAGATGATGCACTTAAATGGTCTTCCTGGTATTTCGCACATTGAATATTTTTGGATGGCATCCAAAACTGCTTGGCTATCGCAATGTCCGGTAACCCCCATGCAAATGAGCGTGAGGACCGGGCGATAATTACGACCTGCTGACAATTTTGCAGTTTTTGGTCCATTTCAACCCCTAAGTACATTGCGATCATCTCCAAGAAGAGTAGGCTTCTATTCTGACCCTCATTTTATACCCATGCAAAATTTCGTAAGGATCGGGCCATAAATGCGATCTGTATATGATATCCTGATATCCCAACTACTTAGTTTTGTTAGCTGTAGAAATATTACCAAATGTTTAATTCAAAATGAAAATATGCCAAAAATATGACAGAATTGAAAAAATATGAGAAAATGTTACAAAAGCAATATTTTTATCTTTAGAGAGATATTTTTATGCGATTTTTTTAGACGTTTTTTCTTTCCTGCCAAGAGGCCATTCTGAATTAATGAGAACTGTCGAAATCAGTTCAGCCGTTCTCTACATATAAGAGATCTTTCAAGCATATCTTCTTTGATAGACATATATATCACACATATTTTGCTATATATCCGATTTGTTGGATGTTAACATCAATGTAAAGGTCAGAAGTAACCTTGTCATGGCTTCGTGATTTCGCCGGGATTTAAAATATTCGCGGTTTAATGAAAAATGTTGAATTCTTTAAACTCAAAAGATATGGTCTATTTTACCCGCTAAATATTATCCGATCACCACCCAAATGGGTAGGCTTCTTCCCCGCCCTAAACTCTAGCTACATACGAAATTCCGTCGATTGGTCTATAATTGCGACCTGTATAGCTACTGCAAAATCCGATATTTTTTCAGTATTTGGTCCATTTCAACCCTTAAATTGGCGATCATCTCCAAAAGAAATAGGCTTCTATTCTGACCCTAACCCCACCTCCATTTTAAATTTCGTGAAGATCGGACCATAATTGCGACCTGTAGAGTGATTACAAATTAACATGGACAGACGGACAGACGGACGGACGGACATACATAGCTAGATCGACTCAGTTTGGCGAGCTAGGAAGATCCATATATACTTTCCTATATGGGAAACCAATATTTCGAGGTGTTACATAAATTCTGGCCCAATCAAACTTATAGTACCCCCCAACACATAGTGTTGTAGGGTTGTTGTTGTCTCATAAAAAATTTGACTAAAATATTCAAAACACCGAATTTTGGCAGATACCGAATATCGAAAGCACTAGAGGAAAACGTGGATCTATGTATACAATGTTTTCCACCGAGGCTACAACCTTTTGCGAACTACAAATATCAAATTGTAGACAAATTTGTTAGAAAATGTGGCTTAAATCGTCCAACTTCCCTTTCTTACAAATAATATCACTGAGTATGTCAGGGTTATTTCTCAGAAGCCTTTTTAAAAATCTCAAAAATATATATAAACATAAATCAGATAGTCTATAACAAAATAATTTTTTTGTCTATATATTAATGAAACTATAAACATTCTTAACAAATCCACTATTATAGTTTCGTTTTTCCATCCCTGCATTTGTCTACGGTGACCATTCAATGTTTGACTTTTGCCAACAATCTTGCAGATTGTTTTGTTTTTTTCTAGATGTTGTTATTGTTTTCTTTGTACGAGCACAAGCAGATCATCATTACTGTTTAC